ATATATAGAGGCACTACAATGAAGGAGATTATAATGGAAGTTGCTTAGAATGAACCCTTTGTTCAACTATTTATTTATAATTTTATTCATTATTGTTATATATTTACACACTTTTTGTATGTGCTAGTAGACAAACAGAGCAATGTACAATGCTACTATTGTACACTCTTGATTGATAAACAAATCTTGGTAGTACACATTGAATGTGCAAACATGGCAGAGTACATAGCTGTAACCAATATCAAACTATAAGAAAACAATTAATCCCTTAAACTCCTATTGGCGCCAGAAAACAAACTCTTAAAGAAGAGAAGCCTTGGCCTCCAGGTAGGATAAAATATCCCTTTTGTTTCTGAGACAACAAAAAATACTTGTGCTATGCGGGCTATAGGAGAGGCTTCAGATACCAAAATTGTACCTGGGACATACCGAGGTAAGGAGGATTTTAAAAGACTCCTGGAACAAGTTAATTTCAATAGTAGATTAAACTTTCGGAAGTAATTAATCAAGCTTTGTTAATAGATCAACACATATGACTAAGGGAATTTTCAGTCAAGTGAAGTTTGCAATAAGTTGCAACAATACTCAGTTATTACATAAAAGGAATGCTTCAAGTATAAGACAAAGTTAATTCACTTATAACTATTCTTGAATTGATTAAAATTTTATACAAACTTACTATTACGCATAGTACTGTATGTAGGTTATAGGAGAGGCTTCAGATACAAAATTGTGCCTGGGAGGAATTTTTAAAGACTACTGAAAAAGGTTTAAATTAAACTTTCGGAAGTCATTATACAAGCTTTAATAGATAAACACATGATTAAGGGATTTCACAGTCAAGTGAAGTTTGCAGTAAGTTACAACAGTTCTCAGTTCATAGACAAAAGGCATTTTTCAAATATGAGACAAAGTCAATTCACGTACCTACTATTGACTTGAATCAATTTTTATACAAACTTACCCTAAATTTAATGAATTGGAAAATGAATGAATAATGCTACTTACTTGGCCAATATTTCCACCATTGCTTGGTGTGTAATGGCTCTAAATATAGATATGAGTAATCAAATATATTATTGACAGCATTTAAAATTGATAAAACTGACTTGCAAATAAAAGAGTAGGTCAAGTCAGGGCAACATTTAAAACTACCATAAAATCAATTAACTGTATATTTAGAAACTGTTCGATTATGAGTTTCATAAATATACCTGAAAAGAAAGCCTATAGTTTTTGAGGTAAATATGACTATAATTCATTAGAAGATAAAAATCACTCTGTTTTCTTAACTGTTACATATAAAAATGATAATAACATAAGATTAACCTCTATTTGAATTTGTTTATTTAATTATTTGAATAAGCTTTACATTTATACTTTGCCTAGAGGGATGGGGGTCAAAATAAAACACTCACACAACCTAACTCGCACTACCACAAAGTACAAAAAAAAAGAATCTAAAACAATTAAACCTAGCATGAAGTTATGCCAACAAATAATAAAGCATGTTCTTTCTAAACCTCAAAATAAAAAGGTGATAAAAACTTCAACATCAACATTAAATTTTAGACATTTGATAATTTTCTACCGAAACTGACATTTCTCACAGTAGCCCAACTAAAAGATTTTCAAAGAGTTCCACCACAGTAGCCAATAATATCCAAACAAAACAAAGGATCTGACAGCTGGGTGTAAAACTTTCTCATCATGTTTGTCAACTTTGCTGAGATTTAGCCCGAGGTTGAACGAACAATATGGACAACAGAGAAACCTAGTCCACCAGGAGAGGTAGCTATGCCCTACGGCACGTTTAATTACACGAGCGGGACAGGCTCAGGTGCAACTCCACCCACGTTTCTTCAGACTTCCTGCCACCAGCACTGCATGTACTGCATGTACACACAATACAAGCCTAGTCAACCTTGTTATTACCACCGGGTTCATAAGAAATTAGTTGTAGATCATTTACATTTAACACGAGCAGTTGGTATTCTAACCATTCTATTGTAGGTCATTACACGAGCTTAGTAAATCCATGTATAATTCTAACCTTAAAAAAAAGCAGTGTATATTTAGCCTGTACTACGCCCTTCTCCGTTTACTTGGCATTTTTGTGATGATTAGTGAACTGCACTTTAAATTTAAAGACAGGCAAATTTGAGTTGCAGTTGGTAAAATTTAAACATTGTTAAAAGAAAATAAACTCTTTTAACAGCATTTTCATTTGTGTGTCAAGTACGGCTTGATTATTTTCGCTTTTCTTTTTAAACAAATAACAGCTAATTTATATCCGATAAAACTTTTAAAATAACTCTGTACAGACTATGAAATAGAATGTAAATCATTTCCAAAAAGAAAAAAAAATATTTTTTATACTTTTCTATGGCTATTAATATACACAGCCATACTTAGTAGCACCAATTATGATTACCATCATCCTCAGCATACAGTAAAAGTTAGAGCCAGTGGCTCATAACGGCTCCATTATTACTGTAAAACTTTCAGGCTATAATTATAGCTGGATCACTAAGGGTTAAGACCACATATAGCTAATATAAATCCGTCAGTGAATTCTCGTGGTATAAAGATAGTTTTACTATCTAAAATTATCAGACTTAGCATGGAGTTTGTCTAGTCTTCAGACAGTAATCAAGGTTCTTAGTTATAAATTGCCTTTCTCAAACTGTTTTTTGTGTTCCTGTCCAAGAGGATGGCATCAAACAGTGCCGTATGCATAAATCAAAATGCAGCAACTACGAGTTAATGTGCAATTTGTATTATGTTCTTATCCAAGGCAATGGCATTATGGCATTAGGTGCTGCCTTGGTGTGCATAAATCAAAAGTGCTGTAAACTAAAGTAAGAACGTGCAACTTTGTAAGGGGTCGTTCACAATTATCAACATTTTCACAAGTGTATAAACAGTAATTTTTTTTGGTACCCCTCCCTCCCCTCTGAAATTGTACAAATTTTTGCAAAACCATTATCCATTTTTTTTTAGTTAACTAAAGCCATTACTTAATAATAAGTTTTAGGTATTTAGTTAAGTATTGCCTGAGAGTGCCACCGATACAAAGGTGAAGTGTCACAAATAAATAAAAAAATAAAATGTACTTAGAAATTAATATTATATCCATGATAATTTTAAAATTACTTTACATATTGCATGTTATTTTGAGTCAACGTGTTTATGAATATGTAAAAGTGTACAAATTTGTCCACCCCTCCACCCTAGCGTACTGTTTGTACGCTTGTGAAAATTTTGATAATGTTGAATGACCCCTAAGGGAATGGAGTTCCACAAAGCCATGCCTCTGGAAAAAATTAGAGAAAAAAAAGAGAGTCTTACTCTCATTGTTGAGTTACTCATCATCATCCTGTCCATGTCAAAGTATGTATGTTGTTCAGGTATTGAAACAAAATTTTGCAATTTTTTTGGTACTTATATAATGTTGTTATGGCTGAATATGGTTGGATACTGTACTAAATCAACCCACCAATATGATGTTATCAATATTTTCATGAAATGTCTTATGCACCTGTCTTTATAGTTAGGCAAATGGGCCAGGATTAAGACAAGGATTAAATTTAACTTGGAATTAAATGTAACTTAGTATTATAAGAATACGAAATGATGTTTGCCCTACCTGGTGTGTTACATGTACTGAATGCTCAGTACATTCCCAATGTGATGAATCCGATCCCCCTTCTGACGCATAATCAGTATAAGTAAAAGTCATAAAAATATGTTTTTTTAAATAATGTTAAAGTTCAAAATATCCTATAAATCAATAGTATCGAATAGATCTTGTCCAAAATTTAAAATTTCTTAAGTTTAAACAATTAGTCTTGCTTACAATATAAACAATATCACTGATAAGGTAACTTGACACAGATAAGTAAATACTCAATGCTTATTCTTGTGTTACACCCTTGTCGCCAGTAGTTTTTAACTGTATCCTTGATATATCAAAGTCTGTAAACAAATTAGCCATTTTGTATGAGTAGCAGTAGAGCCGCTAATCCCCACTACGAACCTCAAAGTAACGCTAACCAGAGCTACTTCATATAATGATGATTAAGTTCACAAAGCAGAAAATTTTAGCAAAATAAAACTAAATGTTTTAAAGAAATTTATGGTATTATCATTAAAGATATGTAAAGCTTGAAACACCCCCAAGAATTCAAATTGTTGAATATCTCATTTAAAACAATTAAATAGTTACTACAGTATCTATTTCCAATGGGAAATAAAATTGAAGTATAAATTTACATACTTTTTACCACAAATTCCCATTGATTACACTTTTTTTTCTAACCGGTAAATTTTTGGTCTGGCTTAGTGTTTTTATTTTTTGGCTAATTTCAGGCTCAAAATTTTACACGTGTTTTAAATAATAGAAAATTATTATTGTACATCAGTACACTCCTAATTTACTACCTTACTGTATTAGGATATTACATAGTCATACCTAAAATACTGCACCTGAGGTACAAATAAAATTTATTGATTTTTCTATTAAAAAAAAAAGAGGAAAAAAAACATCATTTGACATTTTACTTCAGTTCTTAGTTTGTTCTTATTTTTAAGCAATTTCAGCCTTAGTATTCTTATAAAATGTGTTCTTATAAAAAAAAGTGTATCAATTTGTGGATTTCTATACAAAACTTCAAAAAATAAAAGCCCATACTGTTATTTTTAAAATAACTCTTTACAGACTATGAAATAGAATTTAAAACATCACTAATCCCTCCTATCAAATAGAAAAATGTTTATATTACTATTATTAGATGGCTACGAGTATAGCCATAAATAATTGCACCAATTACAATTTCAATCATCAGCAGCATAAAAGGTAGAGCTAGATGGCTCATATATATTGGGTTGGGGGGGGGGGAACCTTTCGAGAATAGGCCATTAGGCTAAACTATTTTAAGGTTTTACGGTAACCATTTTTCCTACAGAAGTAGGTTGAACTAGGGTTCAACTAAACTGTAACACAGTTCTAACAGATATTATCAATGTGAAATTATTCATACAATATTCAATTCGTGCTTCATTCTGTTTTTAAGAGAGCAAATGTCCTTGTGTCATAGCAACCACTTAGGGAGAAACAAGGTAATATACAAAACACCCTACCTACAATCAAAACAGCCCTGTAGTTCCCAGTACCTAATGAAGTATTACAGAATGTCTGTTCATTCTTTGCTAGCCCACTGGACACATGCTTATCAATTATTTGACAGGAAGACAGTGCAAACAGAAAACATGCGTCTGAGCATCATAACTGTGATGTTAGCTTAATATCCGAATCATTTCACGCAGTTTTACACTAAAAGAAAAAGCTATATGCAATATAAGATATTAATAAAAAAAATATTTCAACTTTTGGAAGACAATTTACGTCACAGCAAAACCTCTGCAATACCGTAAGTCTTCCAAGGGAATACCTTGAAGTGCGCTCAAAATAGAAAGTGAAATTTTTTTTTTAATCAGAGGGTTTCCATCTTTGCAAGAAAGTGCCAGTGAGTATGAGATATAGGAAGGACTCAAGAACAAACACATGATATTTCTTGTGACAAAGCGAACATCACCAAGCTCTTGTGCGCATGTGATTAGCATGGTTTGTAGTGAAGTGTTCTGTAATCTACTAGTGTAGAAACCCTTGCTATCAATAAGATTTTAGGTTCACTTCTTCATAAAGTTGACCTGAATTCAAGTATAATCGCTTACAAAAGAAACTGGAAAAGTAATGATTTCTATTGTATCAACATACAATCACAGCAATCTACAGGTTTTGAGGTTCATTTATCAATAAGGTCACTGAATTACGGTGAAGTATAAATCTGTCACTTTACTTACAAAGAAACTAGAAACAGTTGAGAAAAAGGCCTACACTTTGTTTTTTTTTATAAGAACCAGTCAAATTTTTGGCAGGCTCAGTAAATTATGCAGTCTCCTTCAGTGTGATCCAGGAAAAGCTCAGAAGCTACTCAGTCAACCCAGCATATTTTTGGATGCTAGAAGACTGCCTTTGGGATGCGAAATTGCGAAACTATTTTACAGCAGTATATTACTGTACTGTATTATAGATGGTATTACAGACATATTCACACCTACTGCAAATAAGGCACAGATAAGATTTTTTGGTTTTTCTATTTTTTTCAAATTAAAAACTCTTTGACATTTTACCTCCGCTTCAATTTGTTCTTACATTTTTCTTAATTTTTAAGCGATTTCAGCATCAGTGTTCTTATAAAATGTGTTCTTAAAAAAAAAGTGTTATGTCATAAAAAAAAAAAATATGAAACTGAATACCTGAAATAATATAACAAAAGAACTAACTGAGTGGTAAAACGAAGTCAAAATTTGAACATAATTTCTTTTTTTCTCCATTTTTTTTATTTTGAAAAATGTTGGGGGTCCCCCAAGAATTTGCCAGTGATAAGGACAAAATTCTAAATTTGAAATGAAGGAAAACTACAAAGATTGATAATTTAGAGAAAAGGTGAATGATTGGAGGGCAGGCAGAGGTAGAGCATGACGTGAATAGATAGAAGGAATTAAAAGAGTGGATGAAACAACTTAGCTAAGGCTAGCAACACTAGCAATGTGTAGGACTTGTAAGCAAATGCAAGATATGGCTAGTGATACGTGACAAATAATCTCCAAGAAGAAAGCTAATGATGACTGACTATAAATAAAAGAAAGTGATGAACCTGACCTGTGCTTCTGAAGGTCATTAAATAATAAAGTAAATATGGCCATAGTAGAGTATGCCCCACAAAGTGAAAAAAACAAACTTATGATAAATTTTGGATTTTCTTTTTTTTATTATTTTATTTTAGCGCATTGAGACTTTGGTGTAATGCGCTATAGTAAATCCCACTACATTACATTAAACAAACATTAAATAGCAAACAAACATTACTCAATGGGACAATAAGAAATTGAATTTATTAAACACAATAGATTCTTTCATTTTGGATTCTTTAAAATTACCAAAAAAATACTTCTTTAATTATAACATTAAGTTTTTAAGGAATATAGCTTGATGACTGCATACCTTTGGCTGCATGCGTAGAATTTCCATAGCAAAAGACCCATAAGTAAGGGATAACTGTGCCGCAAAATCATTCAACATTGCCAGAGGATTACCAATAGGAACTTTCTTCAAACAAATTCCCTCTTCCTTAAGGATAACTTCAGTGCTTACAGACATCGATGACAAATTTGTTATTATCCACCACTGTGTATTACTGTATTACATATCCTACTTGCTACCAAATCCTGAATGAAACACAGTACATTGTGGATTTGGACCTTGCAGTAATTAAGACCCTAAGGTGCAACACTACACCCTCAATGTTGTGATAAAGAAACCAAGGTCAAAGACCTTGCTTTCACCACAAAATATTTGGACCAATCACAAGAGTTTAAACAAGTTTCGATTCTACCATTACTAACATGGGGAATGCATTTACTATCATTAAAATTACTATCTGTATAATAATATAATAATTAAGGAAACAAACAGCATTTTGATCTTTGATTTAAAGGAAGAATAAATAAATAGAAAAAATAAAAATTTTTTTAAATTATGAAATTCTACAATTTTGAAAACAGGAAAAACTACAATTTCTCTGTCCCTTATGCCTCAACAAATAATATTTAAATGTTTCACTGTACATATTCAATAACGTTAAATTAGGCTATAGGCAATTCAATGATGCCATTTCCATTGAGAATTACTCAAAAAGTTATAACCTGCTCTAACCATGGAGGTTTTATTTTTTGTTTTATTTCCTCCATGATCTAACAGACAGCATAATTTCTGATTAGGATAATCAACAATTCCCATGCCTGCACTTCCTTTATATAGATAAGCATTCTCCTTTTATAGTAATAAGCATCTGTGGCATACACAGTTGCTTATTCAGAGTCAGAGTTAAAAAAAATGTTAATACACTATAGTATTCAGAAAAGTCAGCAGGTTTGCTTGCCGGTGTACTGCCCAATTCACTAGAAGGACCCCACTGAAGAAAAGGCTTCAAATTTTTGTTGGTTATCTTTGATGTGCCTCACACGAAAGAATACAGTACTATATTTTAGAACACCATGTCAATAAGTATCCTCAATTATAATTACCATACTATCAAGAACACACTGGAGATATATTTAGACTCTCATTTGGAGGCGGACAGCAATAAAAAACTAAACCGAAATAATAAGCTTAAATGTCACAGAAAATCTCTCATTAGTACTTGTTTTCAATGTTTTCCATGTATACTTATCAATCATTATTAAGGTTATACAATCTATGACCTAAGGAGCAAGATTGGGGAACTTGTCAGAATATCTATTTTGGGAAAGGGCTTTATTCAAAGTTTATTTCAACCTTTATTTTCGGCACAAAACACCTAAAAATAATAAATATTTTTCAATTTTTCTTTCAAGTAAATAGTGCTGATTTACTTAGATGTCTATTGAGGTGGCCAGCAAAGAAAAACAAAATTGTGATGTCATTGAAATGTTTCATTACATGATTTTTATGCTATAAACTAAGTTTGTGTACTTGAATTGATATATTGCACTGTCACATAATTTTATGTGTGCAACATGTAAAAATGACTGAAAATTGCTGATGAAGCTTCTAAAGAACTTAAATTTCATATTGTACAGTATATAGGCCTAGATATTTATAATTCTCTGATTTTATTCTTATTAATGAGGTACGGTATTTTTAGCCATGTTCTTATGGCTTTGCATGTTATTTTAATGTACTACATTAAAAGAAGAAGCTTATTTTATCATTCCAAAATTTATTTTTGGCACAAAACGCCTAAAGTCAATGGTATTTTCTATTTATATTATCAAGTAAATAGTGCAGATTTACAGATGGATTCCTGGATCTGCCACTGTATTGTACAGTATATGTATTTATAATTCTCTGATTACATTCTTAATGATGCAAGTATTTTTAACCATGTTCTTACTGCTTTTGTATGTTGTTATAATGTACTATATTAAAATAAGGAGCTTATTTTATCACTTCAAACTTTACAAAACACCTAAAGTAAATACTATAAGCAAATTAAAATGAAGATTTAATTACGTGCTCATTGGAGTTATGATAAATCAAAATTATGATAGATTATAATGTCACAGAGAATGATTTTTATGCTGAACTAAGATCATCACTAATTTTATGTACTTCCGTTGATATATTACACCGGACACGTTACATATATGACATAATTTTATGTATGCAAGGTGCAAAAATCACTGAAAATAGCTGATGAAGCTGCTTCTACAGAATTTCAAATGCATATTGCAAAGTATATATATTTATAATTCTCCGATATTTATTCTTACTGATGCAATTATTTTTGAACATTTTCTTACTGCTTTGTATGTTGTTATAATGTAATACACTAAAAGAAGGAGCCTTAGCCAAGTAGCAAAAAATCATTGTTTCCTCTCCCGGGGTTTTCAAAAAGTTGGTGAGGGAGGTACTTAATATTTGATATTTGTTATTTTCCACAGTTTGTCAAAATATGCTAAAGAATGTTCTCTGCGTTCAAACTTTATTTTTGGCACAAAACACCTAAAGTAAATACTGTAAGCATTTTCTATTGTCAATTAAAAAGTGGAGACCCAAGCTCATTGGAGTAGGAAGGCAAAGAAAAACAAAATTGTGTTACATTGTAATATCACAGAGAATGATTTTTTATGCTATAAACTAAGATCATAATTTTGTTTGTGTACTTCCGTTGATATATTACATGTCCGTCACGTTACATCTATGACGTCATTTTATGTATGTAAGTTACAAAAATCACTGGAAATAGCTGAAGATTTTTCTAAGGAACTAAAAATGCATATTGTACAGTATATATATTTATAATTCTCTGATATTTATTCTTATTGATGCAATTATTATTAACCATGTTTTTATTGCTTTGTATGTTGTTTTAAAGCTAGACTCAGGAGGAAAATTTTTCTTGGTATGTTGTACAACTGTTTTTTCTAAGGGCCTGTTGCTGCTGAGCAAAAAAACACGTTTTTAAACGGTTATTAAAAAACACGTGTTTTTCCCCCATTAGAAACGGGCCACAAAACGAAAACACGGTTAGGAATGCGTTCTAAAAATGCGTGTTTTTACACGTATTCGTTATAGGGTTCGCATTCAGAAAACGCATGTTTTGTGGTACACTTTTCAGCTGCAACGCAATACCGTGTTATTCATGACCCGTCGGTGACCCAAATTGACTTCTTCGTTGGTTTGATCGCCCGTCCACGGGAATTCGGGGCGAAGAAAAAAATTAAACCAATAGGATGACATGCTTCAAGATCATAACATACTTTTTTCACACTTTCGTGGGGTGTTGTTTACTTCTTTCGCAGCATGCGCTGTAGCTCATAAGGTCAGCTTCAACTTCCGTTGGTGACCGTCATTTAAGCTCCGCCAACCTGCCAATGCTCGCATTACCGTGTTTTTATTAGTTGTACTTTTCACTAGAAAATGCGTTCAGAAGGAATTTAACCGGTGATAAAAAAAAATATGTGTTTTTGGCGTTATTCAGCAAAAATACGCCCTATGACACAAAAAGCATATTTGACGAAAAACTTGTGAGCGGTTAATAAAATACAGATTTTCGAATATTGGGGGGAAAAGGTGGAATAAAGGGTGGTTACCCCTCCCCCCCTTTTATCCCAGTTTTTAACCGCTCCCGAGTTTTTTTTGTCAAATACGCTTTTTGTGTCTTAGAAAAATCAGTTGTACAACATATCAAAAAAGTTCTTCCCCTGGAACCTGTCTTTAAATACTAAAAGAGAAGATATCTATTCTAGGAGTTTAGTCAGTACGTTTACTTCACTACAACCTATATTTTAGAGCACAAACCTAGATCACTACAACCTATATTTTAGAGCACAAACATATTAACCTAGATAAGTGCGAACAAACAGTTTTCTCTAAGGGGTAGTTCCTGCGATGATAATAATAATCCAAGGTGGGGGTGGTAAACTCAGTCACTGTAAGTTTAAATGTCAAGTTTAGTTAAGATCAAGTTAGTTTTAAATGTAAACTTAAGTTATTCTTTAATTTATTAATATGTGTTTATGAAATTCTATTCTCAATTGTGTAGTTTCTGAATTTAGTTTTTGTATTTTCTTATATACTGAAACAGCTCATAAATTATGTCTTGGGAAATTAAAACTGGGGGGTCTTGATACCCCTTTTCCCCAATTTTTCAAAACTCTGGATTTTATTAGCTTTTGGAAATTTTTTCATTTTGATCATCCCTTCAACGTTTTAGAATATTCATCGTGCAACATACCATGAAAAAAATTCCTCTGTAGCCTGCTGTTAAAATCAATTTATCTTTAATTCCAATCTTGTGGTTTTGGCTATCACTATTTATCTCACCACTGCCTTTTGTATAAATACCCACAAAGTGAACAAGTTTCCCTCAATACATAGTCATAAAGAATTATCCATAGGGACCTTGTCACAGTAAGTATTTGTTGTATATCACACAAGTTTTATGTAAAAAAATTTAAAAGATGGTAGCTTTATGGAAACTGAAGTTTCCTTCCAGACATTTTCACCCATCGCCTCCCCCTCCCGACAAAGGAATTTTGCCCTTTAATTAAAAGAAAGCAACCTAAGATAAACATTAATTTTCTTAATTTGACAATTTTGTTCATACAGTATCAACTTAATCTTGAGAGGGTAGACCATAATGCTGAGCATCAACAGTCGATTAAAAATATGGAGATTAATAGGTAAATCATGTTGATATTTTCTTTAATAATGCAATTCCGCCTTGGAACATTGAAATTAGAAATATGTAAATGAACATATCCAATCCGTCATTGACATGGATTCAAATGATACCCAGGGGGTGACGTACAAATTGCTTCTACTCATAATGACGTCACAATTGTGTACCTGTCTCTTATACACATCTAGATGTGTATAAGAGACAGTTTTTATATAGAGAATGGAGTGAGCTATTATTTTAGCTAATTTAGGTCTGTTTTTAGACCCACTTTTATTTAATATATTATACCTGTTACCACTATGGACTTTTTGTCTGAAATAAAAAGAAATGAATGAATGCACAAAACAAGATTTACATTATTAATATTATCTTTACATTATATTATTTAATCTTTAATTATTTAACTAAATATCTAGAAAGATTACATCAAAGTAGGATTAAAATAAATATGGTAAATTCTTACACTGCCAATATTTTCAAGTTATTTTTCATGATTCACCCACACACAAAAAAACTTAGGAAAA